GCGGCAGCTAAAAATAAGGAGAAAACAGAAAACCTGTGTATAAAAATTAAAAATACATGGAATTTTGGAACCATTTAGCAAGGAGAAATACTTCAGCACAGTCATATTTACACTCCTATATAATAAACTGTCTTCAAAATTACAACTTGAATCAGCGATTTTAAAAAACAGTCACAGCTAATACTCATAAAGCACTTGAACCCAGGTACTCTGGCTCTAAACCCAAAGTATTCACCTACACTATACTTTTCAATAAAAATTTAAATTATGTTTATTGTATTAAAGTACATTTAAGAAAATGTTTATAAAAGAAAGATATAATCAACTTTAAAAGTCTTTATATAAAATGATTAAACACCCTTAATGGTATAAGCTGAGAAAACTTACCTATCAAAAAGATCTATTTCTGGATATCTATAGTTTGTATTCTATATAATTTCACATATTTATGATTTTGTAACACTGTAGTCTCATTTAATCCTTCCCTATTAATATGAACTATTTTCTATACATTGAAGATGAGAAAACTGACATATAGGTTAAATAATTTGCACAATAGCTAATAATGAAGCCAATATTCAAAGTCATATAGTCTGGCTCCAGAATTCTAGGTTTAATCAATGTGCCCTGCGCTACTACAGTTGCTAGATACACTAGATATGGTAGGATAGCTATAATGTCTCAGGATGTATTTTTTAAGGGATTCTAGTAATCCTGGAAACCTAGGCACCTGGCCGGCTTAGGCAAGAGCGTTTGACTCGATCTTGGAGTTATGAGTTCAAACCTCACAATGGGTGTAGAGGTTACTTAAAAATAAAAATCTTTAGGGGCACCTGGGTCACTCAGTCAGCTAAGCATCTGCCTTCAGCTCAGGTCATGATCCCAGGGTCCTGGGATCGAGCCCCACGTCAGGCTCTTGCTTGGTGGGAGGCTTGCTTCTCTTTCCCCCTCTGCCTGTAGCCCCCCCTGCTTGTGCTATTTCATCAAATAAATAAATAATACCTTAAAAATAAAAAAATAAAAAATGATAAATAAATAAAATAAAATAAAATCTTCTTAAAAATTTCAGAAAAACTAGAAAATACCTTTCAGGATCATTAGGCTGCTTCCTCACCAGCATTCCAGTTCTAATCCTTCCAAGCATTTGCCTACCCCTTAAATTTGACTTAGCCATATGACTTCCTATTATCAATGGAAATATAAACAAAAATTATATTTATCACTTCAGAGTGGAAGCCTTCAAGAGGTTTGCCAATCTCCATATTTTTCTTTCTTCCTTCTCTGGAGCCATGTGGCTTGGAGGTTCTGGTAGTCTTGGTCTCTGACTGATGCTAACATAGACCAACACTTTTACTTACTCATTATGGATATATGAGCAAGAAGTAAACCTCTGATGTGTTTTAAGCTACTGAGATCTCAAGGTTGTTTATTAACAATTATAGCCTTGTCTTCCACTAATAAAATTTGATAGGTTTTTCCTGGGAGGTAATAAAGGGACCGTTTTTGGGCCATGATAAATACAAACAATTTTAAGTTTACAAAATGGTTAAGTTCTAAAAATTCATATTGAAATCAGTTACTTGGAATTTGGAACTTTTTTTTTTCCACAGGCTCACCTTCTAAAAGGCCTACAGAAGCTTATTTAATAATTTAAATGAAAAAGAGGTAGAAAATAATAGTACCTTTAAAATAATTAAACTAAAAAATGTGAGAGAAGCAAATAAATGTAAACCTGCAGATATTCTAAATACTGATAGACATTTAAAAATTTTTTTAATTTAAATTCAATTTGCCAAGAAATAGTATGACACCCAGTGCTCATCCCATCATTGATAGACATTTTGAAGTATTTTAAAGAAGTTGAAGGCATTGTTCTGTAGTATATTTTAATTCCTCTTCAATATGTACATCTTCTCCCTTATCTTGATCTTGGAATATCAGTAGATTTCTCTTTTGTTTATTATGTATGACTGCCATTGCTTCCATGGCTTGCAAGTGGAATGAAAAGGTGGAACTAAAGAAAGTTATTAAGCAAAGCATACATGAACATTTGAGAAAAAATTGCTTAAGTTAAAATTCAATGACTTGTGAGCTGAATAAAAGTCATTGAATAAAATTCAATAAAATTAAATGACTTTTATTCTGTGTGACAAGTTTTTCTTTTTTAACCTTTCTCTCTCCTGAGCTATAGACCTATGTTTCTATCTGCTCACTGAACATCTTTGTGTCTCCAAAATGTCTCAAACTGAATCTACTGCTGTCTCCCTCCAACTACTTCCTTCACACTTCTTCCTGTTCCTGGCACTAGCATTCTAACCATCACCTCTCTATCATTACCCACATTTGAAAAGTAGCATGTCATACTAAGTCTTGCTTTAATATGTATCTCTTTAGCTCTTTACATTAGCCTTATGCCTGACATATTACCTCTTCCCTACTCCATGTTTTCTGTACTTTTGGTCTTGCTGTTACAACTGATTACGATTCTCATCTTTCGACTCTAATTCTAGTCCCTCCAGTAGAATAATGTCAGATTAATTTTTCTAGAGCAGCACTCTGATTGTGATATAAATAGCTCAAAAACCTGCAGTGATTCTCACCATCAAACAAATTAAGTAGAACTTCTTAGCATAGCCTTAACCTTCATAATACCCTATAAGAGCATAAACCCCATTTATTTTCAGGATTATCTCCTGCTATCTTCTTAGTTGTTTTTCCTCATACTGACCTAGCACCATCTGTGCCTTAGATAATGTTCATCACTTTATCAGAAATACTTCCTATAGCTTCCATTCTTCTTAATTTTATAAAGATCACCTTGTTAAAAGGACAAATCTGTCAATGTCATCTCAAATGACACTCTGCCTATGAATTACTAATAAGGGAACAGTCTCTCTTTTGAATCTCAATATACCCACAGATTGAAACGTATTTCCCTATAGTGCTTAGCATTTGTGCTTTGCCATAGATTTTCAACATTTTCCTGAATTAAAATTGAATCAAACTGCACATACATCACAGGAAAGTAAAAATAAATAATCTACTTAGTTTGTCAATAAAGATTTAATATCTATGAGGAGGGTATTTGCACTCAGAGAATAGGAAGTCAGCAACATTTATAGAATGTCCACTTTGATCAAGTGATGATGATGATGGTGGTGGTAAAAAATGATTATAACTAATATTTATTAAGAAAATACTGTGTCAGGTACTATTCTAAGCACTCTGTATGCAATACTTTATTTAATCTTCCAAAGAACTTTAAGTAGGTTATAATTATTATCACCATTTTAGAGATGAAAAAACTGAATCAAAGTTTGGATAACTTGCCCAACATAACACAGTTAGAAGTAAAGGCAGTCATAATTCTAATAGGACAGTCTGACTCCAGCAAATTGAGCTCTAGAAGAGATGAAATATTTTGTGTACTAAATATTATATCTTATTTATAATATTATAATCACAATATAATATAACAAAACTTATTATTTGTTAACAAAATATAGACTGGGTATCCTTAAGTAATTTCCCCAAAATCTCTTTTAAACCATTTGTTTTATAAAAGTAGGTCACTAGATACTGTATAAACCAAATAGTCTCTGAAGTCCTGCAGGACAAGAAGTATAACTTATTCATCTGCATACACTGAAACCTGACCTAATGTTTGTTACATAATTCTGCTAGATTTGTGAGAAATAAAAGATCACATGAATTAAATTCAAAGCCCCATCAATTTTGCTTTTAAAGTTTTCTGTTTCCTTGTTAAATGTATTGCTTTATTTCACAAAAGCAATTTTTGAAAGTGCTTTTCAATAGTTTCTTCTACAATATAAAATAAAAGTCCTGTGCAATATTTGTGGACTGGCCAATGGGCCACATGTTCTTGGACTAAGTGACAAAGGATTTTCCTATTCTGAGAAAAGGAGTAAGGAATAAATTTCCTTAAAACTTACTTTAAGGGGAATTGGAGAATTAAAATTTTAAATTATAGCTCTGCATTCTACTTACATGGTCTACTTAATATAACTATACAGTATAGTTTATTATAGTAGATAATAAATCCAACTGTGGCAGCAGATGTAACTGAGTTTCAATATGAGCTTTGCCTTTTATCAGTTACTACTATTGGTAACTGTTAGAAAATATTTGAAAACAGAAAACTACAAAAAAAAGAATGAAACAGTACTGAAACAAAGGAACAGAGTCTTAAAAGATGAGTAAGAATTTACTTTCTGACTGAAAAAAACACAGTGGCATTCCATGTAGAGCAAAAAGAAGGTGGACAGACACCTAGGCATAAAAGAGCTTGTTTAAGGAACTGTATACAGTGTAATGTATGTTCAGTATATGTTCAGTCTAAACCTAAGTATAAAGTATATGTTGGGGAATAGTAGGTGCCTGTAAGGACAGACACTGAACGGATCATAAAGGATTTGTTAATACTCTTCCAAGAAGCATTAAGTATGAATTCAAGAGTGAATTCTTGAATCCATCCTTGCTAGATATCTTGCTAACAGCTAAAGGAAATAATGTATTACTAACCAAATCTGCCAATACAGTATTTTCTATCTCATGCTACAAAAATTGCCCTTTTGTATTTAATGACAAAAAGGCTGTGGCAATTTCTGTACTCAAAAGCATTATTTTAAAAGTATAGCAGAATATAAGGACTTAAATGATATCCACTTTTTAAAAAACTGAAGAGAATATAATCTTTCCTTCTTGCTTCTTTGGTAGTATGTTCATATTTTCACTTTGGTTTCCCTTTCATACGGATAAATGAAGTCAAGAGTTAAAAGTTTCTATTCCATTTCATTCTATAGCACCATGGAAATCCTGGCACATGTTATTTTTCATTCATTCAGCTTATTTTAGTATTAAGTCACAATCAAAAAACATATACAGAATAATCTTTGCTCAGCAGACTTCAACACAGGCTCAATTTTCCAGTGGTGTTGGAAATGTGAAGCAACACTATCATTAATTTCTAGAAGGCATACCTAGGAGTGCAGTGAGCTTGGGGAGCAGTCCAACTTGTACCATCTTATTCCTCAGTCCTGTGTCAAAGGATAAGTTTAGTAAAAGCCGGAGGGTGATATTCAGCAGATCCTCATGTTCACAAGGTATCATTTTTACCAGTTTCTCAACGATGTCCATTTCCACCTATGTAATATAATAATACAACTGCAGTGAGGTTCTGTTGTACAATACGGCAAAAAAACAAAAAAACAAAAAAAACAATTACTTTTCATTGTTTTTCTACCCTCGTGTATCTATTTTATAATTATGTGTTAATCTATTTATTCTCATTTTAAACTATAAACTTCTCTAAAATAAAACTTTTGAGGAAAGAAATGTATTATTTCTATATCATCCCTTCCTTCCTCTACTTAACAGTATCAACTGGAGGACAAATTACACTGGGTTCTTAAAAACACATTATTGAATGCCATCTAAGTGCCAGACCCTGTGCTAGCTCAAACAAGGGCTTCAAGGATTCTCCAGTCTAAAAAGAGAGCAGACAAATACAACAAATAATTAAAATGTAATGTAATAAGAATGGAATGCACAAAGTCCTCTGGAAGCAATATGGAAAAACTACTAAGCTACCTAGAACAGAAAAGACTTCAAATGATGAACAATTTTTTAAAAATATGTAATAATTTGATCTCTGGTTAAGAAAGGCAAGGACAATCGACAAAAAAAGCCAGTGGATAGGCATTTGGCCTGAAAGAGCTTATCTGGGGGGCACTGCAAATGCTTTGGTATGGCAGGGCATAAAGTATAAGTTGGAAAATGGCAGGAGCCTGTTAAACGCATATTGGACAAATCACAAAAAGATTTAAATGCTCTGCTAAGAAGAATGCCTAAATGATTTTAAGTCCAGAGGGTAATGTGGTCAGAACAGTAGCATAAAGATAAGCATATCACTACATACAGACATATATAAATATATGCATGCAAAGAATAGGACACAAACAAATGAATTGGGGGCATTGTATAAGGATGGACTGAAATAGGCAGAGATCAAAAGTAGGTACACTTAGTATCTTGCATTAGGCACTATATTTGATTAGGGTCTGAATCAAAGAAAGAAAAAGAAGATGAAGAGGAAATAATCTGAGAGATGTTAAGGAGATATGGTCAGAGCATCTGAAGGAGAAGTGAAGAGAAAGCACTGAAGATGACTTTCAGGTTTCTGGCTTGGTCAATGTGTTGGGGGGCCCAAAGACTACCCCAAGGTTCAGTAATTTGCTAGAAGGACTCACAGGACTCAGCATGTACTCATCTTCATAACTGATTTATTACAATGAAAGGATGCAAAGCAAAATCAGAAAAGGGAAAAGAGCTTGATCTCACGACCCTGAGATGATGACCTGTGGGTGCTTATCTGAGTTGTGCTACCTAGGCATCCCCACCCTTGCCATTTCTTAATTGCAGTCTTTCATTGACTACAAAAAATCACATTGCTAACTGAGACTTCCATAAAACCTTTCCTCTCATTCCATGCTAAGGAGTGAACATTGTTTTTTTTTTAAAAAAAAAAAAAACTAAATTGACAATCCAACAATGATTTTTCCTTTAAACCTCTATCTTCACAGTTACACTGTAATTAAAAAGTACAAATCCGTCTTCAAAGACTCTTTAACTTTGGCTCTCCCTTTCTCTGAGTTCAGTATTCTAAGCAAGCTGGGACAATCATTCATTTGTTAACTTCCTACAATTTTCACAGAGGCCAGTTACAAAGATTTGTCAGATTTATACAAAACCATAATTCTATCAATAGCATGAATAACACCTTTTCTAGCTCTGTTCATTCATTCAACAAATATTTTTACCTTAAACCACTGGAACACATTAGTGAACAAGGAAGAAATAATTCATGCCTTCATAGAGCTTATATTCTAAAAGGAGTAATACATAGTAAAGAAATAGTACCATGAAAAATATGAGTGGATCTGATATAATCTCAGTGTGAAGAGTTGTCAAAGACAGCTTCTCTGAGGAAGAATAATCTCCTAGATGAACAGAAGTTATCTAATGTTAATTGAGGAGGCAAAGAGCAGCCTAGATGGAAACAATAATAGCATGTGCAAAGGCCCTGAGGTGACATGGAAAATTTAGCATTCAAGGAACTCTAAAAATTATCCTTCTGACTACAAAGTAGACAACGTATTGGAAGGAGGCCAAAATAGAAACAGTGAGATTAATTAACATGCTACAGAAGTAGTCAAGTAGAGGCATTAGTGATTTAAAAAAAAAAAAAAGCAGAACTATGTGCCTAGTCCTATGCTGGACAGGGTGGGAGATATAAAGATGAATAAAAAATACTTCTGAAAAAGGAAAAAAAAAGAAAAGTAGGCAGAACCTCAAATTTACTCTTAGGATGTAAAAATCTGAACAGGATATGTGGGTCCTACTCTTAACTACAAGAAAATTCCAAATATAAATCATAACTTAAAAAATAACCATCAGAGAGCTGAGGTTGCAAGGAAATCAACTGGCTTGAAATATAAGGAAAATAGGCACCCTTAAAGAGATAAGAGTCATGAGCACTGGTTTATATATGGCAAATCCCTGGAGAAAAAAGAGTTGTACTGGGAAAGAAGACTGAAAGAAAAATTTTAAACAAATTGTTAAAGGTCAAGTGTGAAGTAGCCTGACTACTGTGAAGCTGCAGATTTTCAGGGAGTTTGAAACCACTTGCAAGGTCTTTTCCAAGCACCTTATCAGAAGATCACAGAAAATACTGGGGACAGGACCGGAGATCAAAGGAAACTTCCCTCCCAGTAGAGGGAACCTTAGGGAGGTAATTGCTGCCACTGGGGAAAAGGCATAAAATTCTGTCCAGATCTTTGTCTCCTTTTTCCTCTAAAAAAAAAAAAAAAAAGACTTAAAATAAGCTCAAACCCTATCACATCCAAAATACATGTGAAGGCCCACTGCAGCTGAGAAAAAGAGAAAAAAATTCCTGAGGAGAGGTGTTGACAGGATGACTTAGGAAGCCCCACTGCTGAGAACTATGGACACAACACCCAGCTAAGACTTACCTAAAGCTCAATTAGAACAAAAAAAGTCTCCTTTCTTCCCTCCTCTTCCTTGGCCCTAGTACCAAATTAGCAAAAGCCAAGTAACAAGTAATATAGCGCTATATTGTTGGGAGGGGTTAAAATGAAGTGAGAGGTCCTCTTTGAAACACAGACACATTGGGAAAGTCTGAAGAGAAGGATGGAACATCAACACTGAGAAAAACTCTCTGGCACCAATACCCTACACTGAAGACATAGTAATGCTACATGGGTGTGAGCTCATAATGAAGGAGAGTAACCAAATACAGCTAAACTCCTGACAAGATTGACTTAATCTCACGCATTAAAGGCTGAGAAAATAAGGTCTGCCCATTTTTTAAAAAGATTTTATTTATTTATTCATGAGAGACAGAGAGAGAGAGACAGAGACACAAGCAGAGGGAGAAGCAGGCCCCATGCAGGGAGCCTGACGTGGGACTCGATCTCAGGTCTCCAGAATCATACCCTGGGCTGAAGGACAGCACTAAACCACTGAGCCACCCAGGTTGCCCCAGGTCTGCCCATTTTTAGATATAGATAGTATTTATCTCAATCTCAACTAATCTACATCTGGTGTCTAGCTTTCAATCAGAAATTATGATACATGAAGACCAAGAGAATACCCTACTGAAGGCAGCTAACAGAACCAGACTTAAATATGATATGTATAATTATCAGAGAATTTAAAATAACATCAAAGAATTACTATTAATATAGTGATTGATATGTTAAAGGCTCTACTGGAAAAAATGAATAACATAAATGAACAGAGAATTTGCAGAGAAAAAGATACTGAAGGAATTAAATGGAAACATTAAGTACACACACACATACACTACAGAGAAAGAAAACCTTCATGGGCTTACTAGCAGACTCGATATAGCTAATGACAGAGTAAGTAAGCCTGGAGGCAGGTCAATAGAAATTTTCTAAACTGACCCCCCCCAAAAAAAAGAAAGAAAAAAAAACTGAAAAGAATAAAATAGCAACACAGTATCTAAGAGCCATGAAACAGTAACAATTGGATTAACATGCATAACTGAAATCCAGTAGAAGAGGTACAGAATGGGACAGAAGTAGTATTTGAAGAGATAATGGCTAAGGATTTTCCAAAAATAATGAAATAATCAAACCACATATATAAGTTCAAGGAACTCTAAGTAGAATACAACACACACAAACATACACATATGCCTAGAAAGACATATGTTGAAACTGCTGAAAAGCAAAGATAAAATCTTGCAGGCAGGTAGAAAATAAAAGACTCATTACATATAGAAGACAAAATATAAGTATTAAATTATGCTTTTTGTCAAAAACTATGAAAGCCAGAATATGGAGTGATATTTATAAAGTATGTCAACTTAGAATTCTGAATACAGTGAAAATATATTCCAATAATCAATAATGAAACCAAAAGCTGGTTCTTTGAAAATATTAATAATATTGATAAATGACTAACCTATAAAAGAGAGAGAAAGAAGAAACAAAGTACCAATATCAGTAATGAAATGAGGAATAATCACCATAGTCCTTTGGACTCTAAAAACATAAGAAGGAAAAAGTATAAAAAATTTTTATGCCTATACATTTGACAACATAGATGAACTGGATATATTCCTTGAAAGATAAAGATAAAAACTACAAAGCTACCACTCAAATAGAAACAGATAACATGATAGTCTCACTGCTATGAAAGAAATTAGAAAACTCCAGGCCCAGATGACTTTCTTACTGGTGAATATTATTAAATATTTAAACTGAAATAATACCACACACAAACTGTTCCAGAAAAACTGAAAAGGGAATGTTCCCCAACTCATTCTATAAGGACACAGTCATTCTAATAGCAAAACCAGACCAAGACATCATAAGAAAACTATAAACTAGTAATCCCTCATGAACACAGACACAAAAATCCATAACAATATATACCTAATCAAATCTAACAATATATAAAAAGAAGTATATCATGAAGAAGTGATATTTATCCTCTGAATGTAAGACTGGCTCAATATCTAAAGTCAATCAATGCAATTCACTATGTCTACAGTCAAAAGAAGAAAAACCATGTGATCATCTCAACTGATGCAGAAAAGGCCTTTAACAAAAATCTAACATCCATTTATGATAAAAAGTCTCAGCAAACTAGACCTAGAACTTATATAAACTGACAGTGTTTACAAAAAAATCTACATAACATTATATTTAATAGTAAAACACATTGTTTTCCTCCTAAGATTGGTAACAAGACAGAAGTATCCATTTGTAGCATTCTTTTTTTTATAATTTTTTTAAAATTTATTTATGATAGTCACAGAGAGAGAGAGAGAGAGAGAGAGGCAGAGACATAGGCAGAGGGAGAAGCAGGCTCCATGCACCGGGAGCCCGGCGTGGGATTCGATCCCCGGTCTCCAGGATTGCGCCCTGGGCCAAAGGCAGGCGCTTAACCGCTGTGCCACCCAGGGATCCCTGTAGCATTCCTTAACATCATACTAGAGGGCTTCGCCAGTACAGTAAGGGAAAATAAAGGAGAGAAGGAAAGAAAGAAAAAAAGAAAACAACGAGCTGAGAAAGAGCAAACATACAGATTTAAATGAAAGAAATACAACTTTCTATTTATAGATAACATAATAGTCTACTTAGAAAATCTCTAAGAATCTATAAAAAGCCATTACAATGACAAAACTGAATTCAGTAAGGTCATAGGACACAAAGTAAATATACAAAAATGAATTGTAACTTCTATATGCCATTATTCAACAACAGGAAACTGATCATTTATTTTTTAAGAACTATTTCTAATAGTAAAACAGGTATAAATCTAACAAAATATGTGTAAAACATTTATGCTAAAAACCATAAAATGATGGAAAGATCTAAATAAATGGAGCACTATACTATGTTCATGGGGGAAAATCTGGTGTAGTTAAATATATTGAATCTTGCCAATAATTTTAATGCAATCCCAGTCAAGATTCCCGGGTTTTTTTTTTTTTAAAGAAATAGATTAGTTGATTCTAAGTGTATACAGAAAGGTAAAGAATATTAAATAGTCAGAAAAATTTGAAAAAGAATAATAACATTTGAGCCCTTATACCACCTGATTTCAAGACTTACTATAAAGCTACAGTAATCAAGGCAAATATTTATCAGTGAGAGCACAGACAGGTAGATAAATGAAATAGGAGAGTCTAAAAATAAAACCACACATATATAGCCAATTGGTTTCCAAAAAAGGTACAAAAGCAATTGCAAAGGCAATTTAGTAGAGAAAGGACTTTTTTTTCAACAAATGGTGCTGGAACAATTGGACATCTTTATTCAAAACTTGAATCTTGATCCATACTTTATACCATATAAAATTAACTAAAAATGAATATCCTAGATTAAAACATAAACAATAACACATGTCTTACAAAACTTCTTAGAGAAAATGGAAGAACTTTTTGTGACCTTGAGTTAGGCAAATATTTCTTAGATACAACACCAAAATGCAATCTACTAAAAAAAATTACTTTTGATATACTGGACTTCATAACAATTAAAACCTTCTGCTTTACGGAAAGTCACAGAAAAGGAGAAAATGCCTGCAAAACATATAACTGATAAAAGACCTATCCAAATTTAAAAAAATACCTCTGAAAACTTAATAGGAAAATAAGCAATCTAAGGAATACATATCCTTTCTCTTGTTCCTCTTAAAATCATATTCTAATATGACCTATTCCCTTTCTGTTATTATATTTACTTAGTAAATATGCAAACTCAATTTAAATCATTAATTGAAAGACTTTTTAAAGTGAACTAAATTTCCTTTAAAATACATTAACTATAAAAAGCGAGGTCAGTATCAGTTCATATCAACAGTAAAATGAACATTTTATTTAGACAAATAACACAACCTCACAAATAGAACAACCATTTCTCCTGTCCACCCTTTTTAAATAAAATTGCCACAGGCCTCATCTGTTACTAATCAAATCAAGTTAATATTTTTCTTTTGAAATAGCAACAGTACACACTGGTTGTTATAGTAAACTTAATAATAAAGTAACTGGAGAGTTTTTTTAAAAAATTAGTTTGTATTTCCATTGCAGAAAATGGAATGTGAAATATGTACCATGTAGTCCAATCAGATGGCTAAACACTAGACATAGCTTTCTAATCATCTGTTTCTGATTGATAAAAGCCCAATCCCAAAAACTAAATTTAGTAATTGTCTCAGCATGCAATGCCTTTCCAATTCTATGTCTATAAAATGGAATTTATAGTTAATTAGTACTTTTATTAAATGTTTTATATAAAGTGACAGCTTATCAACAATCAGCAATTTTATTTCAGCCTTTAAGTAATTCTTTTTCAGTGTCTCTGGAAGTCAACATTTAAAAGTTGCTTATCACTAATCTTGCTAAAAATGTTTTTTTAAATATGAAATCATTTTTTTTTCTCTTGGAACAGAGAGAGGAGTAGGAAGCCAAATACCTGCAGATGTTTCTTTGAGTAATTTATTTAACCTCTCTGATTTTCTGTGACTTCATTTGCAAAATTAGCTAAATCTAGACATGGATGTAAGATATGGTCAAGCTCTGAAGATTTTGATTCTACACAATGCCTTAAAAATGCATTTCTTCCACAATAAAAGATGAAATGCATGCCATCTATAGTAAAAATGTGGCTAATTACATCATTTTTATGACCTTGGATCAATGACCCTTCCTGAACCTCTGCTTTTCCTACTTAATAAAACGTTAGATTTGATGAGAAAATTTATATGGTATCTCCCCAAATCTTACCAGAAAATGATTTCTAATAATGATTTTGAGATCATTTTTGATAGAATTAACACATAAGTTTATTTCCGAAACACAAATCTAACCAAAACATAGTAGACACGTGCTGATGGCAAATCAATTTGAATTCTACAAACTTACTAAAGTGAACTTAATCTAAACATGTAAATGGAAAAAAATATACTTCAATTTATAGCAAGGAGAAGCAATTATTTAGCTACACTCTAATCATGAATATATATATCACTGTCTCATTATAGTCTTCTTTAATACAAGATCAATGAAAACAAGAAATGTTTTTTATTACTAAGTAAATTCAATCTTAAAACAGTATCAGGCATACATCAGATCACCAATAATTATACACTAATGATGAAAATGACAGATATTAAACATCTGTGGTCAAAATAAAATTTCATTTATTTCTAGTATCAGAATTCAAAGCACTTATTAAATCTGATATAGGAGTCTCAGGTTTTATGCTGTGTCATTCACTGAGCATAAGGTACTTCCTAGTCCATTTAACTTCAAAAGAAGAAAAAAGAGGTGAAAATACTATATATTATGATTATCTGAAGGAGAATCCACTTACACCAATAATACACAGTGATACAATGACTTGTATTAGCATATACTTCTAAAATGGTCCTCAATGTAGTTAAGGCCAATGATCTAACAATTTCATTTCTAGGAATCTAAGCAATTAATCAGAACTATAGACAGTGAGGCATGTACAAACGTATTCACTCAAGTGTTATTTATAATAGCTATAATTATAAACAACCTAAATATCTGAAAACAAGGTATGGTTAATATATGATCTATGTAATGTAACACTGTGTTTACAAAGACTTTTTAATGTGAAAAAAAGCAGATAACTTTTATTCCGTCTTTACATTATTTCTGAATTATGTATATTTTTCAGAAGTACTATATATAATCAACTTGTATTTCTTAAAGACTGCTGCATCACCACAATATAAGATGGCAAACAGGAACTTACTATAATACTTCAAACAAGAAAATGCAAAGGGTATAAATAAAGAGGGCATGAACTAATAAAACAGAGAAAGAAAGAAGGTATAGCTTTAGGAGATCTTCAGAAACCAAATAAACAGGTTGAAGCAACCAACTAGAATGGCAGGTTAATAAGGAGGAATTGGGCTAGTCTGTAACTCTACACACTAATATCAGAAATGTAGGAGAGAAGATAATGTAAGGGGAAAATAATAAGCCAGGTGATTCTGAAGCACAATCTTAGAATATAAATTACTTTCTACATGTTATGTTGAATATGGAAAGATACATCCTATGCAATATATTAGGAAAAAAATTTTATCCAAATAGTCTCAATTAAGTTGGATATGAACTAATAAGGAATATATTTCCTAATGAAGTCATTTAAGTGAATTACTGCTATTGTAAAATTTTCATTCAGAATTATCTCAGTAGGGATATAATGTGTTTACTTTTTATCAACACATTCAAACCTGAAAATAGTGGACATGGACTATTTAATATTTAAATATAAGTTACCATATCATTTTTATTCTCCATAAAGATGCTGAGTTTCTTCAAGAATGACACAACTAGGATAAGTAGCTCAAAATTGTCCCGATCAAGAGCCTTCACCAGCATGTGAACTATGTTCTTGTTCCTCATCTTCAGTTCTGTACGTGTATCTTCAGCAAGATTCAGAAGCAAATAAAGAGCAACTAGAAGAGTAAAATAGATGAGTGTTAAGTGACTGGCATATTGAATCAACAACTTAATCATTTCTACTCAGTATAGTAACACGTAGTTCTAAGAAGAGAATACATTATTTTGAAAATATTATTAATTGGCTCATTAGAAAACATTTGTTATTATTGAGAAATACATGTATGTTATACAAAATAAACAAAAAGTATACATACATAAAATAATTTTCTTATGATGCTGAGGACACTAACCAAAATAAGATAATGATTCTTTAAAGCTTAATAGTAAGCAAATGGTATTAAAGGTACATGTTACTATATAATAAAACAGGGGGAAAGAATTGTATATGTGTAGAAAACAAGGTAAAACTTCAACAACAAGCAGCCACAATGTTAAAAAGAACTATACTCTAAGAAAAAACTGATGATTACCAGAGGAGAGGTGGGCGGAGGAATGACTGAAATAGGTGATGGAGATTAAAAAGTGCACTTGTGATAAGCATAGGGTGATGTATGGAAGTGTTGAATCACTACAATGTACACCTGAAACTAATATAACACTAGATGTTAAAAACAACAAAAAGAACTATAATCCAAAACATGTAAAATAGCTATACCTAAATATGAGGATAGTAAAATCTATTTTACATATCCAAACTGATTTTCTGATAGTTACTACAGAAAATGCCATATTAAGTTCAGTAATACAACTGTTATACTAGACAAAGTTAAGGCATTGTCTACTAGTTCTGAGTAAAATTTCTTTTAGACACCTCTAATAAAAATGCTTAGGTTTTTCCAATAAACTCATATGATTCTTCCCTTTTGACAGAATTTGTAACATATGTTGTTTTCCATTTTGCCTCGACTGACGGGAAGTTTCAGAGTTAAGACTTAAAAGATTTCTATCAGAATTTGTAGGCTATTATGATCAACGCAATCCTATAATCTTGGTTGTATTACTTTAGCATTTCACTTCATGCATTCTTATAAGCCATTTCTATACCTTTATGAAAATAAGTAATATATGCAATAGTTGTAAATATTTAATTTATTTAGCAAATATTTGAGCTGTAAAGGCAGTAATTAGGGCCACTGTAGGCCAGGCACTGTACTAGTGGATATATAAACAGTAAACCATTTTATCTTTAAGATAATTTATGGTGAAAGAAGTATTTATTATAAATTTTACAGATGGGCAACTTCAGATTCAGAGAAGTTAAATAATTTGCCCTATCCACACAGCAAAAAAGTGATGGAGCTAAATTAAAATCAAGCCTATCAGAACCCAAAGCTCACATATTTATACTACTGCATCATACTGACTTTTCATGGAAGGCACTATTAAAAGGTTTTACAGTTGTGTGAAATCTAAAGTCTCTTTCAGATGGGAGGGAGGGGGGGGTCCTCAAAACTTAGACCTGCTCCAGGGACGGTGGGCTTTTTCAGCCCCATATGTTTTTTGGCTGCACACATGCGCTGCCCAGGATCTTTGGATGGGGTTCTGTGGTAGCCATGCTCAACCTTAAGAGTAGGTGACTGGGGTGTTTTCATTTAGGAAGTTTCTGTAAGATCATTCTGATGCCATTTTCCATGCTGTCTTTGCATGGACAGAAGGTGTGGGATGTTTGTGTGACTATTTTTGACGTATTTTAGATCTGTTCCCCTAATATTCATGTCAACAAAAGGCTTGATTCTCTGTCTGAAACCAAGCAATACAGTTAAAAAACTGGGAATTAGGGCAGCCTGGGTGGCTCAGCGGTTTAGAGCCGCCTTCGGCCCAGGGTGTGATCATGGAGACCCAGGATCGAGTCCCACGTCCAGCTCCCTGTGGAGCCTGCTTCTCCCTCTGCCTGTGTCTCTGCCTCTCTCTCTCTCTCTCACTCTCTCTCATGAATAAATAAAAACAAAACAAAACAAAAACCCTGGGAATTAAAAAATTGTGTTGAATGCTCTCTGATTTAAACAGTATTTTTGCACTCAATGAATCAATTTCTCTAAAAAAATTTTTCTAAATGAAGTTGTATTGAAAAGCATATAGTAGACTTCTGCTTATAATCAAGAGAAATATAATGGGTTGAACAGTGATCTCCCAAAATTCATGCCCCATTGAAACTTAGAATCTGACCCTATTTAGAAATGGGTCTTTGCAGAGGTAATTAGTTAAGATAAGGTCGTAATGGGCCAGGTGGACCTCAAATTCAATGACTTGTGTCCTTAAAAGAATAGGAGAGGACACGGACACAGGGGGAGGGTGGCCACGTGAGGATGGAGGCAGAGAATAGAGTGATATGGCTATGAGCCAAGAAATACTGAGGTGGAAGCCACCAAAACCTAGGAAGAGAAAAGGAAGGATTCTGGAGCCTTCGGGGGGCATATGGTCCTGCTAACACTGTGATTTTGGCTTTCTAATTTTCAGAAACAGTGAGAAAATAAATTTCTGTTGTTTTATTAAATGAGCCAGTTTGTGGTACTTTGTTTTGGCAGCTCTAGGAAGTTAACACAACAGAGTAATGGGTACCAGATTTAAATTCTTACCTGAAATAACAACAACGACAACAACCAGATGAAAATATACAAAATAAAGATTTTCACAACAATGGACATCAGATAATGAAGGACAGTGACCCAACAGAAGTAAGTGAGATGGCCCTATGATTGCCCCAGAATAATGCCTTGAGAGTTTCCAGGTCATGACACAGAGAAGAAAAATCCTGGCAGAACTCAAAAGAACTCTAGAGTTCAAGAGATGGAACCAAGAGACCAGGAAAGCCAAACAAGAAAAATATCAAATAAGCAACCTAACTTTATACCTAAGGGAGCTAGAAAAAGAACAAATGAAGCCTAGAGACAGCAGAAGAAGGAAATAATAATGTTTAGAACAGAAATAAATGATATAAAAACTAAAACAATGACTACAAAAAACCATAACAACCCAACAACAATAGAACAGACGAAAAACCAGGAGCTAGTCCTCTGAAAATATTAATAAAACTGATAAACTTCTAGCCAGCCTTCTCAAAAAGAAGAGAAAGGACCTAAAGAAGAAAGAGAAAGGACCAAAGGACCTTGGGTTGCAAGGGTGGTTCAATATTCACAAATCAATCAAGAGGATATACCACATTAATAAACAAAAGGACAAGAACCATATGTTCCTTTCAATAGATGCAAAAAAAGCATTTGACAAAGTACTACATCCATTCATGATAAAAACCCTCAACAAAGTAGGTTTAGAGTAAACATACTTCAACTTAATAAAGGCCATCTATAAAAATCTACAGCTAATATCATTCTCAATGGGGAAAAACTGAGAGTGTCTCCTTGATGGTCAGGAATAAGACAAGGATATCCACTGTCACCTATGTTATTTAATATAGTACTGAAAGTCCTGGCCACAGTAATCAGACAACAAAAATAAATAAAATGCATCCAACTTGGTAAGGAAGAAGTGAAACTTTCACTACTTGCAGATGACATAATACTCTATATAGAAATTGAAAACAACACAAAGAAATTAAAAGATATTCCATGCTCATGGACTGAGAAAACAAACATTGTTAAAATATTTGTAATGTCCAAAGCAATCTACACATTTAAATGCAATCCTTATCAAAATACTAATAGCTTTTTCACAGAGCTAGAACAATCCTATAATTTGTATAAAACCACAAAAGACCCCAAGTAGCCAAAGCAACCTTGAGAAAGAAAAGCAAAGCTGGAGGCATCACAATTCTGGACTTCAAGTTATATTACAAAGCTGTAGTGTTCAAAACAGTATGGTACTGGCACAAAAATAGACACATAGATCAAGAGAACAAACAGAAAACCCAGAAGTGAACCTACAATTATATGCTCAATTAATCTTTGACAAAGCAGGAAAGAACATCCAATGAGAAAATGTCTCTTTAACAAATAGTGTTGCAAAAACTGAACAGCAACATGCAAAAGAATGAAACTGTACCACTTTGCTACATCCTATACAAAAATACATTTAAAATGTATCAAAGACCTAAATGTGAGACCTGAAACCATAAAAATCCTAAAGAACACAGCAGTAACTTCTTAGACATTGACTGTAACAACTTCTTTCTAGATATGTCTCTTGAGGCAAGGGAAACAAAAGCAAAAATAAACTATTGGGACTCCATCAAAATAAAAAGCTTCTGCACAGCAAAGGAAACAATCAACAAAATTAAAAGGCAACCCTATGGAATGGGAGAGGATACTTGGAAATAACATTATCTGATAAAGGGTTAGTGTCCAAAATATATAAAGAACTTATACAACTCAATACACAGAAAATAATAATAATCTAATTAAAAAGTGGGCAGAAGACACGAAGAGGCATTTTTTTTTCAAAGACGTAGAGATGGCCTGAAAGATACATGAAAAGATGCTCGAAATCACTCATCATCAGGAAAATTCAGATCAAAATTACAAATCACACCACACCTGTCAGAATGGCTAAAATCAAAATCACAAGAAACAACAGGTGTTGGCAAAGATGTCAAGAAAGGAGAACCCTCTTGTACTATGTGGGAATGCAAACTGGTGCAGCTGCTCTGGAAAACTATATGCAGGTTCTATAAAAAGTTAAAAATAAACTGCCCTATGATCCAGCAATTGCACTATCTAAAGAATAAAAAATACAATTCAAGGGGATACATGCCCCCTGATGTTCCTAACAGCATTATCTACAATAGCAAAATTACAGAAATAGCTCAAGCCTCTATTGACTGATGAATGGAATGGTTAAGGAAAATGTAGGAGATACATACCTATAGAACATTACTCAGCCAAGAGAAAGAATGAAATCTTGCCATTTGCAACAACATGGATGGAGCTAGAGACTATAATGCTATGTAAAATAAGTCCGAAAAAGATGAATACTATATGATTTCATTCACATAAAATTTAAGAAACAAAACAAATCTGCAAAGGAAAAAGAAAGGGAGACAAACCAAGAAACACTCTTAACTATAGAGAACAAACTGATGGGTTACCAAAGGGGAGGC